AGCTTATCCCCGGCATAGCGGTAACAATCGAGCCCGGAATCTACGTTCCTGAGTTCGGCGTCAGGTCAGAGATTGACGTGTTTATATCAGAAGATGGGCCCCAGGTAACCACCGAGATGCAACGCGAGGTAGTGCTGATTTCCAGCTAGCCCTACGACTCAGCATTCATCTGGCTTGCCGTCTTTGGAAGCCGCGTGGCCCAGAGTATCAGGCCGCCGAGTATCACCAGCACGCCGCCAAAGATGAACGAGGCCGAATTCCCCCACTGGTCTGCCACCCAACCGGCCACCCAGGGAGAGAACGCTCCGAAAAAGCTGGCCCCGTAAATCAGGGACACTACCGTAGATTGCGCCTGGCCCTGGGCTACGTCCATTGCTCCCGCTATGTAGATGGTATGGAGCGAGTACAGGAAGGCTCCCATGACGAGAACTACGGTTACGAGCTGAACCCCCGGTTCGGCAAACCTCAGCGAAATGATCAGAAGCCCCATTGCCAGCGTGCACGGTACGAGGACAATCTTCCTCCCGAACTTATCCGACAGGTAGCCCATCAGTGGCTGTGCAACTATTCCGGTTACCTGAGCGCCTGACATGAACAGCCCAATGACGACCTTTTCGTACTCGAGGTCTTCCAGAAGGTAAACGGGCAGGAACCCCATAACAGCGGACTGTCCGGAACTCCGGAGGGCCGTCACTAACACTAGAGACAGCATCGCCTTCCGTCGCAGCAAGGTTGCGAGAGACGATCCGTACTCACGCAGGGAGCCCGCGTCGGCCGCAGCAGCCGGTATGTTCCTCATCATCAGGTAGACGGCGACGGCGAAGAATAGGGCAGGGAAGACGCTGATGTGAAGCACGTCCCGCCAGTGGAACGCGACCAGGTACGTTCCACTGATGAGCCCACCAGTCAGTACCGGACCAACAACCTCTCCGACGCTTCCTCCGGTACCGTGGAGTGAGATGGCGAATCCGCGCCTGTCCGGAAACTTGCGGGATAGAGAAGCGATCGCGGGCGGATGGTACAGCGACGGCCCTATTCCCACGAGCAGCATCACCGCGAACAGCATCCAGTAGCTGGGTGCGCTCCCCAACAGGTAGAAGGAGACGCCCATGATGGCTAGGGACAGCATCAACATCAGGCCTGACTTGTTGGCAAATCGGTCGCCAAGATACCCCGCGACCATCGTAGTCGCCCCGCTGGTAACCCTCTGTGAGGTGGCTAGCAGACCGAATTGAGTCCCACTCAGCCCCAGATCGTCCTTTATCACTGCGAGGATGACGACTGCAGACCCGAGTTATATATGTGCTTTACGGTGTGCCCGAGGACAACAGTGACCGCCAGCTGATTCCGGCCTCTCTTTATGTCCTCCGAGACCTTGATAGTAGTCATTTATTCAGCGACCCTCCAACTCCGGCTGTGCCAGATCGGATGCGATGTGAAGCAGATGAGTGTGTGTCACCCACGCAGGACACGTCACATTCCACAAGACGACAAACGGCGGCGGTTGCGAGCAACCAGTCTATACACTGGCCGCCCGATCAAGCCCGCGCCTGGCAGGCGCATTAACGCCCCAAGCAAGGACAGGGTTGGCAGTCTCGTCAGGGCGTCCCTGATCGCGTAGAAACCCTCTCTGACTTCACCAGCGTCAGAAACTAGGTACGCCGCCTGGTCCATCTCTTCCCACGTGATGCCTGTTGGCGGCTCGTCGAGGCTCTGGTACGGGGTCCACGTGATTCTGCTGTGGGAATCCATCCTCTCCAGCCGTCGCACGAGCCGGAGGCACATGCCGCAGTCGCCATCGTAGTAGAAGACAGCCGTACCGGAAGTCACTGGTGCCGTCTTCCTTCGTACGGATGCTCGGCATCCAGCAAATCGCCTTCAGCGAACCGCGTCGCCCTGAACTGTCTAATGGGATGGTCACGCGACTCTCCATGCATGACAAACTCCGCCATCATCCGCCCAACCACCGGGGACAATTTGAACCCATGTCCGCTGAATCCCACGGCCCAGTAAAGTCCCTCGACGGTCTGGGAACGGTCCAGGATTGGATTGCCGTCAGGCGTCATGTCGTAAAGCGAGCCGTATCCCCCTCTGCAGATTGCCGAGTCGAAGTCCGGGAAACGTAGCTTCGCGCGGTCCCAAAAGCGCGTGATTGTATTGTGGTCAGCGTTGAGTCCGAACGCGTCTGGGTTAGCTATCTCGTTCAGATCTTCCAGGGCTTCTCCTCCGATCACGGTGTCGTGGTCTGCGTACGTGCGGAAATATGCCCCCGTTGTGTAGTCGATAATGTTCGTATTCAAAGACTCCAACGGCGGAGGCCTTCTCATGTGCACCATCTGGACTCGAATGGGTGTCACTGGCAACGACTCGCCGACTGTAGCTCCGAGCTGGTGACACCACGGCCCTACGACAGCAACGGCGGTTGACGTTTCGATCATCCCTGAACTCGTCTCTACTCCTGCAATCCTGCCGCCTGCAGTAACGAGGCCGATAACCGCAGTCTGCGTGTGTATCTCTGCGCCGAAGTCCCGTGCTCGGTCCGCATAGGCATAGGTGGTGGCGACTGGGTCCGCGTGGCCGGCATCTGGTTCGTATGTGCCGATGGCTATGTCGCCTGTGTTCGCTTGAGGGACCATCCTCGAGACTTCAGCTTGCGTCAGCGTCTCGATGTTGACGCCAAGATCGCGGTTCATCTCGACGTTCGCGCGGACGGCGGGCTCGTCGCGCTCAGGGAACATGAGGATCCTGCCCCCCTGTACAAACCTGGGCTCGCCACCAATAGCGTCTCCGAAGTTCTGGAAGATCTCTCTGGCCTCCGTTGCCATCCTTACCAGCGTAGGATGAAGGTAGTGTTCTCGGACCATCGCGCCCGATCGCCCACTGGCTCCACCGGCGAGGTGCCCCTTCTCCACCAGCACCACCCTACCCGCACCCATCCGGGCGAGCTGCATCGCGACGCTTGTTCCATTCACCCCTCCCCCGATCACCACAATGTCCGCAGTTGTGTTTACCATCGCATGATTCCTTGCCGACGTAGGACTTACTGAGTGCACCATGAGTCAGGCGCCAACTGGGATTGTACGGGTAAGCGCCAGTCCATACAATACGGCCCGACCGCCCAAGGAGGAGAACGCAGAATGCCCAACCCAGACCCGATCTCGAACGAAACTCTGGAGGTGTTGAAGAACATCCCGACCCAGACTCTGATCGACGCCCTCTGGGTGAAAAACTGGCCCCAGAGCTATATCGAAGGCGCACGACCTCTCCAGCTGGGGCAGAGGATGGCCGGACGCGCTGTCACCCTTCGTTTCGTCCCGCATCGGCCTGACCTCGCCGCCGACAAACCAAAAGCAGACCGGTCCGCCGAGTACGTGGCCATCGAGCTGTGCGGCCCAGGTGAGGTGCTCGTAGTCGACGCCATGAGATGGACATACAGTTCCATCGGCGGAGACATCAAGTTCTTCAGGATGATGCAGCTAAACGCGGGCGGACTAGTGACCGACGGATCTGTCAGGGATAGCGCCGCGCTCAGAGAGTACGGCTTCCCCGTTTTCAGTGCGTCGACCACCGCCAAGCAGGGTCCGGCAGAATTCTGGCCCTGGCAGGTAAACGACGCAATGCAGTGCGGTGGAGTCCTGGTTAGACCCGGGGACGCCGTAGTGGGCGACGACGACGGCGTAGTCGTAGTCCCGAGATCCGAGGTCGACGAGGTCATCGAGATCGCCCATCAGCGCGAGGAAGTCGAAGGGATCATCAAGTCTCAACTTGAAATCGAACAGTGCTCCCCAGGCAAGTACTACCCGTTCAACGACGAGACCTGGAAACTCTACGAGGCCAAGACCGGCAAGAAACGCCCAGGGATAGTTTCCTAGTCCATCCTGGACCCGCCGGTGACGTTGATCGCCTGCCCGGTGATGTTCAGGGATAAGTCTGACGCCAGGAACACGGCCAAGTTCGCGATGTCCTCAGGCGTCTGCTCGCGCCCAAGGGGCATCCTCGCCTGGACCGACCGGTCAAAGTGCTCTCTCGGTGTCATTCCCGATTGGCTCTCGTCCAGGTTGATGTTGCGCACTGCAATTCTCTCCCACATGTCGGTCCACAGCGACCCAGGGCAAATAGCATTAACGTTGATGTTGAACGGCGCCAGTCCCAGAGCGTAGCCTTGGGTCAGACTGATGACACTGGCCTTGGATGCGCTGTAGGCTGGATTGCCCGGCGCGCCCTGGCGTCCGGCGACCGATGCGATATTCACGATCTTCCCGTAGTTTCGCTCCTTCATATGCTCGGAAATCGCGTCCGATGCCTTCGCGACCCCTTTAACGTTCACTGCGTAAATCTGGTCCCAGTCCTCTTCGCTGGGACTGTCGCGGTTTTCCCATCCCGACGCTCCGATGATCCCCGCGTTGTTTACCAATATGTCGATCTGTCCAAACAGATCTACGGAGTCGCTCGCCAACCGATCCATCGACTCGCGTTGTGTTACATCCGCTTGGAAGGCGCCGAACTCGGTTTCAGGGTGAGCTTCACTCAGCTCCGACGCCGTACGCTGCACATTTTCGATGTTCAAATCGCATATAACTACCGTCGCCCCGTATGCCGCCATCTTGTTGGCGATTGCACGCCCTATTCCACGTGCCGACCCTGTCACGATAGCCACCTTGCCATTGAGGTCCATGATCGCTCCTTGCATCGTCATCTTGGCCGCTCTGGGTTGCGATTGTAGCATCGCGAGTGGGAATACGCCCGGCTCGAATCACACGCTTCTCGTGTTAGAATACGCGCGCCCAGTTCATTCACGAGGAGATTCAACGTGCCGGAACTAACCGCAGATGAAGTCCGCATACTTGCGGAGACAATGGGTCTGGAGTTGGACGAATCACGTGCGCGCACTATCGCGTCTCGCCTTACGGGAATCATCGAAGAGCTTGACGAGATTCCCGACGACCTGCTCGAGTCCGTTGAGCCTGCGCACCGATTCGAAGTTGAGCGGGAGTAGTAACATGCCTGGTCAGGAACTGCACCTGCTGACCATTGCCGACCTTGGCAGGCTGATTCAGTCGCGCCAGCTCTCCCCTGTGGAGTTGACAGCCACGTATTTGGAGCGAGTCGAACGGCTGAATCCAACCCTTGGCGCATACATAACGGTTATGTCTGAGACTGCCAGGGCCGAAGCAGCCACGGCCGAAGATGAGATCGGACAAGGCCTGTACCGTGGACCTCTTCACGGGATTCCGGTCGCCCTCAAGGACATCATCTACACCCAGGGCGTTCTGACCAGCGCCGGATCGCGAGTATTAGCCGATCACGTTCCCGCCTTCGACTCCACGATCGTCGAGCGCCTGCGAGCTTCAGGGGCCGTGCTGCTGGGCAAGTTGAACCTGAGCGAATTCGCGGTAGGCGGAACGATTGACCACCCATTCGGCACTCCCAGAAACCCTTGGAACCTGGGACGCTCAGCTGGCGGGTCGAGCAGCGGCTCCGCGGTCGCCGTTGCTGGCGGTCTCTGCGCAGGCTCGCTGGGGTCGGACACGGGCGGCTCGATTCGCGGGCCCAGCGCCTTCTGCGGCACGGTTGGATTGCGCCCGACATACGGCCGTGTAACCCGCCATGGCGTGGTGCCAATGAGCTGGAGCCACGACACTGTCGGCCCCATGACGCGCACGGTCGAAGACTGCGCGATCATGCTCCAGGCCATTGCCGGGCACGACGAGCGTGACTCGTCATCGAGTTCTGATCCTGTGCCCGACTATGCAGCCTCGCTAGGCGGCCGATCAGACCCCTTGAAGGTCGCTCTGCCATTTGCAGCCTTCGAGTACGAAGGGCTCGATTCGGACGTACGTGCCGGCGTAGTGTCTGCCGTCGACACCCTGGCCGAGCTTGGCGCAGACATAGAAGAAGTCAGCCTTCCGGTTTCCCCCACAGCGGAGCGGTCTTCCTCGCGACTGCGGACGTGGACGCGGCGACGTTCCACATGGACTGGCTCAAGACCCGGGGCGACCTCTACGACTGGAGCACCAGAACTCGGCTCGAATCTGCCGCCCTGACCCCGGCTACAACCTACCTCAGGGCACAGAGGGCAAGGACACTCATAAGAGATGAGCTGATGACCGCTCTTGAAGACCACGACGTAATCGTCTTGCCCGCCAGTCCCACGCTTGCTCCGCCGATCGCCGAGTCGACAGGCTCGCCTGGAGGCTACTACCAGGGCCGGCTGGATCTCGGCAGACGCCAGTACACCAGTCCTGCCGCGCTCGCGGGTCTGCCAGCTATATCCGTCCCGTGTGGCTTCTCGGACTCCGGCTTGCCCATCGGCGTTCAGATAATCGGACGCCCGTTCGCCGAGGCTGATCTCCTCAGAGTAGCTCACAGGTACGAGCAGGCCGCTGGTTGGAGTGAGCGACGCGCACCCGAACCCGCGTAATCTTTACCGGCCAATTCCAAAAGCGTTAGTCTTAATGTACGGGGTGTAGCGCAGCGGTAGCGCGCCTGTTTTGGGAACAGGAGGTCGGCGGTTCGATCCCGCCCACCCCGACCATACAATTCCCACACCTACACGGACATGTCCATGCAGGGTTCTCATGATTTCGCCAATGCCAGCAATTCGGGCCCCTCTGCGCTTGGCAGCGAGCAACTAGAGGTGCCCGAGTCATCGGTCAACGACTGGTGGAAGCGTCCTTTCGACCTCCTCATCTTAATTGCCGTTCACATTGCACTCGCCCCCATCTGGGCGGTTCTCTGGACGGTTATCCCCCTGGCGATCTGGCTTCGCGATCGCGGCCCCGTGTTCTACACCCAAGAACGCCTCGGCAAGAATGGAAGGACTTTCAGAGTCTACAAATTCAGGTCGATGATTCCTGATGCCGAAAGACACACCGGCGCTGTGTGGGCAGCAGACGACGATCCCCGCATAACGCCCGTTGGGGCGTTCCTGCGCAACCGCGCACTCGACGAGCTGCCACAGGTCATCAACATGTGGAAAGGCGACATAAGCCTCGTGGGGCCAAGAGCCGAGCGTCCGGAATTGTCCGAGCAATTCGAGGCTCTATATCCCGGGTTCGCCCGGCGGCTTAGTGTCAGACCTGGGATGACAGGCCTGGCGCAGATCTTCGGCCGCTACTCGACGAATCCACGGAACAAACTGCGGTACGACATGCTCTACATAGAGCGAATGTCGCCACTGCTCGATGTGCGCCTGCTGGCGTCCTCGGTCATCCTGACTCTTCACGCCCGCTGGCAAGACGAGCAACGTTAGCGTCATCCCGTTTCTGAGTAATCGACGCAGAACAGACCGTCATTCCCGCGAAAGCGGGAATCCACGAATTGAGTCATCGATTGGCAATACACTCACCGTGATAGCTTAGCGGGGACTACCTACTCTCCAACTGCTCCTGCTGCTCGGTGATACGTATGACCTCACGCGTTCTCGGTGCGAGCGAGGCAGCCTCGTCAAGGTGTTCCCGCGCGACAGCTAGGTAAGCTCTGTCCCTGGTAGAGGCAGCCTGGTAGAACTGCGCAAGCAGGGCGCGAATTCTCCAGTTCTCAGGCTCAGCTTCCAGCCCTGCCTGCCCTTCCGCCGTCACGACTTCCACGGCCGCTGCGAGCTCTTCTTCCGAAAATTCCCTGTGGCCTTCAGTAGCCTGGGGAGATCAGGATGATTCTTGGATAGTTGCCAAGCCCCGGGAACTCTGAGATCGACCGCGTGAGGACCTCCACTTGTTGTGCCCAGGTTCCCTGGCCTATCGCTCCCCTGACCACGCTGGTGGCCGACGTGAATGGCCTGAACGTGAGCGCCAGAAGCAGGCCGGTGAGTACTGAAACTACTACTATTGCCACGGCGACACCAGCCGAACTACGCACAATGTCACTGACTCGATGCAGACGAAGCCGCTGCCCCAGACCTTCCGGTATGAGCCTGCGACCCTCAGTGCCAACACTGCTGCCGACGGCTCCGACCAGCTGTTCCTCTGACATCAGATAGGCAACAAGAAGCGCGAAGAGCATTGTCGTGGTCGTCGTGTCAAAGAGAAACAGGTTCTGGACGAAGTACGCCGCCGCGGTCGCACCAATGACGGCGATAAACACCTGGTACATTCCACTTCTGCGTCGGAACGCGGCCAGCAGAGCGCAAGCCATTGCCAGCCAGATCAGCATATAAGTCGTCAGGCCGATCACGCCCTTCGTCGTGAGCTCTTCGAAAACCTTGCTGTGTGCCTGGTCGAATCGCTCGCGGATACCCGAATCGACATCGAAGTATCTGCCCCACGCGATCAGGAAGTTCTCCGGCCCCCATCCAAGTATGGGCCGGTCCTGGAACGCCTCTAGCCCGGCCTGTACAGCAACCAGGCGACCGCGTGAGCTGTTGTCGTCCAGGCCGATGGACGCCAGACGCCTGAGAGTCGTGCTCGACTCCGTGATTGGGTCGAGCGCCGATGTGGTCTTCATCAGAATGACAAGGACAACCGCCAGTACCGTAGCGACGAGCACGCCCAGAGAGATCCAACGGACTGTCTTTATGTTTCCCCAGAGTAGATATACAACCCCGAAGACGACGGCCCCCGCCCCCATTCCTACGATAGCTCCCCTGGTACCAGTCAACCACAGCGCCCAAAGGTTAATGGCGACCGCCACGAGCCAGAAAAATCGAAGCCAGGTTGTGAGATCCAGCGACCAGCCTCCTTGCTCAGCAACTCTACGTTGCCTCCGTCTCGCCGCACGCCTCCTTACCTCAACGCTTGGCTCGATATCGGGCTTATCGAACGAGTGAAGGATCAGACCCAGTCCAATCATCGCGTTGACCATTGTGTACGCGCCGACGTAAGTGGCATTGCCCAGGGTGGACTCTATTCTCTGGGACGAACCAAGAATATCCAGTGTGAAGACGTCGAAGTGGTGTCCCACACCCAACACCGATACTACGGCCCCTATGGCGAGGTTGGCCGTGAACGGCACGTACCAGTCCTTCAGTGATCGAAATACCGAACCGGCGATCAGCACGAACGCGAACCAATGAGCAAGATCGAATATGCCCTGCATCCGCTCGTAGGTAGACCAGAAGCTTCTCGTGAAGCTCACTCCGGTAAATCCCGCAACGAGTGTGACTAGCAGCCACGCCCCAAACGCGACGAGAATCCATGATTTCGAAGGGCGATATTCAGAGTAGTACAGAATCAGGATCAGCCACAATGCTAACGTGATCTCAATGACTACGCGCGCGTATATCGCCTTCCCCACGACGTAAGGGAAGTACGTCGATGTTGTCACCACCAGCGGCACTATGAGTACCGCCATCACCCCGATGCGTACTGCCCAGAGCAGTAACTGCTCGATGTCTGAAGCGCGAATTGTACCGCTCTGCTGTTGTGTCATATAGGCCCGACCTGCAAAGAATGAGAAACTGCGGCGATTATATGGACGCCTCCGTTTCGAGGTCAACGAGCCTGATTGCTCTAGGCTTGCATCCCTTGAGGCTCATAGTCAGAATACACGACACCAATGTCACCGGGCGCAGGACTGGAGAAGATATGAACTACGACACGATAATCGTAGGAGCCGGCTCCGCAGGATGCGTTCTCGCGTCTCGCCTCAGCGAGGACCAAAAAGGGTCTGTCCTCCTGTTGGAAGCGGGTCCCGACTACCCAGACTTCGACACACTGCCTAACCACATCAAGTATGGCGTTCATCCCTGGTACGAGTCGCTCGACCCTCTTGCCTACACCTGGGGATACGAGGCCAGCGCCGTCCCCGGAAGAGAGCCGTTCAGGCTTCCCCGAGGCAAAGTCACTGGTGGCTCCAGCGCGATCAACGGCCAGGTATGGTTTCGAGGAATTCCAGAGGACTTCGACGAGTGGGCTAACGCAGGCAACGACGGCTGGAGCTACATCGATGTACTGCCCTACTTCCGCAAGTCCGAGACCGACCTCGACTTCTCCGGAGACGACTTCCACGGCTCAGACGGCCCAATCCCCGTCCGCCGCTACAAGGAGGACGAGCTGCTCGCAAGTCCCAGGGCATTCCTGGACGCGTGCGTAGCGGCCGGACTTCCCCATACGCATGATGTGAACCATCCGGAGTCCACCGGGGTCGGCTACTTCGCGTTCAACCGGATAGACGAAGTCCGAATGAGTACGGCGCTGACCTACCTCGACATGGCTCGCAGTCGGCTCAATCTTACGGTCCGCTCCGATGTCCTGGTAAACCGAGTGACGTTCGACGGCCAACGCGCAGTTGGCGTAGAAGCCGAGTCGGGTGGAGAGGTCTTTAAGGTCACCGCTAACAACATCATTCTCAGCGGTGGCGCGATAAACTCTCCCCAGCTTCTCATGCTCTCTGGCGTTGGCCCCCCCAACCACCTCGCACAGCACGGGATACCAGTAGTAGCTGACCTCCCCGGCGTCGGACAGAACCTTCGCGACCATCCTGCTATCTTTATGCACTACGAGAGTCCAACTGAACCTCCTCCCCGACCGCCGGGGCTCCAGATCGGAATGAGGTATACCACCCCAGGGTCACCATATCGCAACGACATGCAGATGCGCCCCCTGCAGATTCGAACCGAGCACATCCCGCCGGACTTCGATCTTACGCCGGGCCACACTCCAACCGGCTTCAGCATAGCCATGCAGAAGGCCCTGTCTGTCGGCGAACTGAGGTTGGCTAGCGGGAGTCCAACCGACCAGCCGGTCCTTGAATATCGCTATCTCAGAGACCCGTTTGACCGCGAGAGGATGCGAGGCGCCGTCAGGCTGTGCGCCGAAATCTCAGCCATGCCCGAGTACGCCCCCGCACAGATGTCGCGGCTCTCGCCATCCGACGAGGTACTAACCTCAGACGAAGCCCTCGACGCCCTGGCTCTTGGAAAACGTGACGACTCAGCATCACTCCTCTGGCACCTGCAAGATGGGACCGTCGGCCGACCCAATGTCTGTTGTGGACCGAAGCTGCCGCGTGCGCGGTGTAGACAACCTGATGGTGGTTGACGCTTCGATCATGCCCGACGTCATCAGGGCAAACACCAACGCGACCACCATCATGATCGCGGAGAAGATCGCCGCAGAGATACGCTCTAGCTAACGGTATTACTCCTGCGGTCTCGGACTATTCGTGCCAGGATAGACTGAGGTGGATCTCTGATCGCGCCCATTGAAAAAGCACCCTTGTATCGCACTCCACGATTCACTATTCTCAATTTGCAATCTTGAGCAAATGAGGGGTAATCGTGGTAGAGACGCCAACGCAAGTTGACCTTGACCAGCTAGTCTCGCTCTGCAAGAGGCGTGGCTTTATTTTTCAGAGCAGCGAGATATACGGAGGCATGGCAAGCACTTGGGACTATGGCCCGCTGGGCGTCGAACTGAAAAAGAACGTCAAGGACTCCTGGTGGCGCACATTCGTGTGGAGCCGAGACGACGTCGTCGGGCTTGACGCTTCGATACTGATGCACCCCGACGTATGGCGCGCGAGCGGCCACGTCTCCAGCTTCACCGACCCTCTCGTCGAGTGCAAGTCGTGCCACCAGAGATTCAGAGAGGACCATCTCGATGGCCCCGAGTGCCCGAATTGCGGCGGCGAGTTAACAGAGGCGCGCCACTTCAACATGATGTTCAAGACCTTCGTCGGCCCCGTTGAAGACCAGGCCTCAGAAGCCTATCTCCGCCCGGAGACGGCCCAGGGAATCTTCGTCAACTTCGACAACGTCCTTACCGCCACGCGCAGTAGACTGCCGTTCGGAATCGCCCAGATCGGCAAGGTGTTCCGAAACGAGATCACCACGGGGGGCTTCATATTCCGAACGCGCGAATTCGAGGCGATGGAGATCGAGTACTTCGTCATGCCTGGAGAGGACGAGGACCACCACGACAAGTGGATCAAGGACTGCGTCGAATGGTACACCGGCCTCGGAGTCGGCCCCGACAGGCTCAGGGTGCGAGCACACGACGCAGACGAACTCTCACACTATTCAAAGGCGACGCATGACATCGAATACCTATTCCCCTGGGGCTGGGGTGAGATTCAGGGCATCGCCAACCGGACCGACTACGACCTCAAAGCGCACACCGAGGCCAGCGGACAGAATCTCACCTACTTCGACCAGGCCAGCGGTCAACACATCGTGCCGTACGTGATCGAGCCGGCGGCCGGAGTGGACAGGGCCGTTATGACCTTTCTTGTCGACGCCTACACCGTAGAAGAGGTTACGTCGGCCTCAGGCAAATCAGAGACCCGCACGCTCCTGAAGCTGCATCCCGAGATAGCTCCAGTCAAGGTGGCCATTTGCCACTCTCCAGGAACGAGCGTCTGACGCCAACTGCTCGTGAGGTGTTCGAGACTGTAAGGCGCTCGCGGCGCATTCCGGGTCTAGTCGTCCAATGTACGACGACTAGCGCAGTAGTCATGAGCGCCGACTGGTATCGTCGCGTCGAGGACGAGATCGGCACACCGCTCTGTGTCATTACTGTCGTATGTCTCGGTGGTTCGTTGTTTGACACAATTTGTGACCGTATCATGGGGCTTTTTGGTCCAGTCACAATTCGGCACCGCGACACCATGAAGCAGGACCGTGTACCGATCGAGTCGCTGCCCGACGAGCTTGCCCGGAGTTTGGGAGAAAGTTAGGTTTTCAAATTCAGCCGGAAACCGACGGTCAACCAGGCGGCGTCCTCCGTAAACACAGGCACAACCTTCTCGGGTGCTCCGAACTCTTGCAAGATTGACGACAGTTTCGATCAAGTGACTCTGATGACAGACAGGTTGAAGTTCAACACTCTTCTGGTGGCCGGCCTGCTGTTGGCCCTATTCTTGGCGGTCGTTGCCTGTGCATCCGAAGAGTCCCCGACCTCTCACTCCGTAGTCAGTGAGGATGCATGGATGCAGCCGGCGACGATTGACCTTGGATGGACACGGCGCTGTCTGTTATTTCGAACCGGCCTCTTTGACGGCAACAACGGATCCACCTAGCTTGTGCGAGTACAGATCATGGCACTCTCTCAGTTCGAGGGCCCAGCCGTAGTGCTGAACTTCTGGTTTCCCTCCTGCCCGCCATGCGTGGTCGGATAATGCCCACCCTCCCGCCCGATTCGATCTGACCGCCTACCGACAGTAAGTCAAAGGAGGGAGAGAGAGTCGTAGAGTTCATCGGCGTCCAGCTGGTGGGCCTACGCACTCCGTTGATTAGATGTGCGAGCAGCTTCGCTATCAAGCTCGGCTGGGTATTACTATCATACTGGGATGCTGACAAGATCGGGGACAAGATGGGTGGCATCGTCATGGATTACAGTATCTCGGGATTCCGACGACTGTTTTCATAGACAAGGACGGAAAAATCCAGCGACGTTGGTCCGGAGCACTCGACCTGGAAAGCTAGATGGATTTGCTTATCCAGGAGATTTGTAGCTCCTGCACTGGGTCTCTTACTGGAGAATCTGTGACCCTTATCCAGCATCCCATGTTGGTCCGGTCTACTTCGATGCTACAATGTTTCGAAGATGCTGGGAGCCGCTGAAAGTGTACTCTGAAACGAAAGCGTTTCCTGTAGTCGTCAGCAGATGGGTACTACCTGACCGCATTCGGTTGGGCTATGGGTAGGTCTGGGTTAGATCTTCTACCTGTTTTCGTGTTGCGATCCCGCGTTTGCGCCGCTAGGCTTCGACAAAGGGTAGAGAGCGGGTAAACCGAAACACGGCCGCCGAGTTCAAGGTGCTGGTCGAACAGTTGCTCTTCTATTATTCGGGTCACTTTACAGGCGGTACAGCTGATCGTTCGACGTTGTCCGACTTAGCCTAGGGCTGGTACGGGATTCCGCTATATGCGTCATGGTTATCGCAGTCAGATAGTGTGAGAATCTGGAGTTCGTACCCTGGCGTGTCGCGGCGTAGGCGCCGGCACTCGTATTGGACGTAGGGCCCACGTTATTGCGCCGACGGGTCCCATAGGCGCCTTGAACGGGTTCTCTGTGGGGGGCGGAGGGTGGACGGGGTCCTAGGCTTTACAACATCTTATTATTCATCTTCGGCGTAGTTGTGTTCTTTCTGGCCGATCTGCTGAAGGTGATGTACGAAATGGCGCTGCGCTGAGCCTAGGGAGCTTTCAAGATGCGAATTGAGCTTATGGAAATTCTGGTCTGCCGATGGTCAGGATGAGGTGTAAGCGATCGTATGAAACTCACCGTATGATCCTGGCATAGGTTGGGGAGGTACAAATCGTCATCCGGGGTCTATTCGTCTGCGAGGCGCTGCTCATGGAAGAATACCCGAATAGAAGCACAGTCACGCCATAACATGCTGCTCCGCTGCGAGAGGCTGAGTAGGACTGGGTTCCAATGCTGCAATTTCAGCCCGCGAAGCCCTCGTACAACTTGCTCTTCAAGAGGTCGACGGCTGGAAAATCGCCCACACAAGACCCAGATTTGGGAGACCACGCATTCTTCATCCTTCCGCCGTGACACTTAGCAACGTAATCTTACCGTCGCCTTAGTAGAACCTGGCCATCTCACATTATGCATTCGATCCCCGCCACGATAGCTCACAGTAATTGAGCATTGCGGCCGGGGCCATTACCGAAGTGTAATATCCGCGTTGTCTCCGGGAGTGATAGGTTGGTCCCTTGGTCGAGCATGTCCCATAATCAGGCGCCGGCGTCCAGGATAGCTTATCAGCCATCCTCCAAACGGGTCAGAGAATCGACGAACTGCACGCAGGTGGCCTATGGTGCTTTTGATAGCCACATTGCTTGGAGCGACCTCCATCGTAGTGCTCAGCAAGCATCACACCGCGTGATATCTAACCTTGGAGCATGGTCTTTAGCCGTTATGTAACGTATAACGCTGACGACGGCACATTGACCGGAAAACTCATGCCCACGTTGCTGTCGGACTCGTCAAACAATCTCAGCGCCTGATTCACGCGACGGTATAGAGATGCTCCCCAGAGCTGCGCAATGACAACTGTTCCATATCCGTCCATAATCGCCGGTCAGATAGTCACATCCCCGGTTGGTCTGCATACCCTCGTGAGTCTAAAGCAGTTCCGAAGGACGTCGGCAATGGCGTTCCCCTTTTGCATCTCAACGCCAACCGCTTGTGTGCCGTTCTTTACGGCGTGAACACTATCGGAGTTGAGATGGTACCTGCACCTTCAAGGATGTCCAGCGAGTCTCAAGCC